CCATCCATCCATCCATCCAACAAATTTGAGTCATAAAAATGTTATGGGAACCTTGTTTTGAAATGTTTCTAAAATGACGACATGTCCAGTTTTCATGTTGTAGTTGTAATTTTATTTAAAGGTTTCAAAAATGTTTCTTACAGTTATATTACCTTTATTTTCACCCAAAATAAAACGTTATTTGAACGCTTATTTTTAACATTCTAAATGTGGGCATGTCTTGCGTTCTTGTTGTGATAATAACTATCTAAATGTCCCTAAAACGTCTTAAAACTTTATTTTCACTCAAAATTAGGGATGCACCGATACCACTTTTTCCAGTACTCGCCCGATACGATACTTTTATTTTTGGTACTTGCCGATACCGAATACCGATACCAATATTTTTATTGCATTTGTAAATTTTTAAAATATTGGGTACAGAAACCAAAAGAGTATGTATAATGTTAGTTGGTTAACTTCATTTATCAAATAGATACAGTCAAGCCAAAATTTATTCAGACACCTTCAACATTTCTCACATTATCACAATTTATTCGCTATAGTTTAGAAAATGGTAATAAATATGAAAAGAACTCAGAGTTAAACTGTGTCAGAACAAATTCAGCTTGACAATGTTAGATAACTTTGATAGAAAGCTATGCAATGGATTACAATCAACGCAAAATTATTCAGTCAGCTGTTAGTATGACAGTATTTACACAACTATCAATACTTAGTCGGATTTTACTAGTTTTTGTTATTTCACTGTTAATTTTTTTGCTCTATGGTACATCATCTTTAATTTAATAGCATTAGAGCTGCTCCATTGCTGCGGCTTAGTACTGCAATCACGCGCTTTGCTGTAATAATGCAGGGAACCACTCATTATACATCTCCTAACTGTGATATTTTCAGAATTAGAAGTGGCGTTTTTTCATCTGAAACGTGCTGCGATTTATATTCCAAAGCCACTCATATAATGCAGAAACACTCAAGCAAGCAAAAAAGTGCAGGTATTTGTTCTGGTGCAAAATAGTACAGCCTAGCGCATTTCACACAAGCTGTTAGTTTCACTTTCGCCTGAAAGTCGTGTATGCCTAGGATTGAAAATAAATTATGTTTATAATGAATGCCCCTATAAATGGTCTTATTTTTACGATTTAGTTTTAATCCAAATGATGCATGTACTAAGTGAGTGAACATCAACGATCACACAACAGAAGTGCGCGCGCGCTCTCTCTCTCTCTCTCTCTCTCTACCGTTAAGTAACTTGTGCATTGTTTTACTTGTTTATGACATATCCAACCGAACTACAAACTTTCCAGTGATGTCTGTGAGAAAGGTATATTCACTCGACATGCTCGCGCATCTGCGCCGCCGCGCGCTCAATTTGCTTATCAGCTCGCGCACATCAGCTATACAGGCATTAATACTGAATGTTTAACATTATATTCATTGCATACATATACTTTATATACATCCTTAATCTCTAATTACTCCATTCTGCTGTCTGTTGTTTTGTTCGGTGTTTCTTTGTCTGAATATGGCACTTATCACATGCTGTGTGGTATTGGGCATTTTAACGAGTACGAGTACAGGAGCTCAGTATCGGCCCGATACCGATACCAGTATTTAACCATATTCAATTTATATTTGAAATTTGTATTTAGATGATATAAGCCACTTGTCACATCCCACCCTAACTTCCTGTTTCAGTGGAAATTACATAAACACATTAAAAATGTGCACTTTAGTAGGACTTTAACGGCAATTTACCAGTAAATGTTGTATGTGTGCTAGCCAGTATATTTTTCATTGAGTTTCACAGAAGAAAAAGTCATACAGCTTTGAGTAAATAAAGACATTTACACTGATGAATGAAGTATACCTTTAAATGTTCTCGTGTTCATAAATATATGCATTAGATCTTCCTTTTGCACAACTTCATACCTCAGAACATTCCAAGAACATTGTGTCTGAACTCGAACACTATACAAACGTGGGCTTTAGCAATTCACACTGCAGCTCTGTTGTTCTTTGAAGTGAGAGTGAAATGCTCTCCTAGCATGAGTCTGTGTATCTGAGAGCTGCTGAGCTCAGGTGGACGCTCACTTCACAGAGCGCTCCTGCTACAGGCAAATTAAAACACGCCGCACAAGCCAAAGTTCTCCAAAACACTCCTCTCTGTGTTCAGCGCAGCCGATAAGAGACCACAAACTGACCTTCTTACATTATTCCACTGCAGACGGAGCAGAAAATTAACAGAGAGTGGAAAATCAAATGGATGAATATGAATAAACACCACAGGCAAAATATCAGCAAAACACAGGATGTGTAAAAGTTTATTTCATTTTATTTTCTTTTTGTTTCATACAATTTTGTAAAACAGCAATGCTCACATTGTTTCTTCATTCTTTTTTTTTTTTTATAAAATAGATGTTTATGCTCCATAAATAGGATTGATTGATCCAATATCCAAAGTAAATTTTCAATGTAATGCAGTTCGTACAGATAGAAATGAATACTTCATGGTCTTTCATCAGATAGATATGAAGGCATGTGTGATAAATATGGTCTTCACTCTGTGTTGCTGCAAACGATACTAAGTTATTAATTACAATGAACGTGTCACAGTGTAAATATATGATTTAATCTAATTCAATTTATAATTTTGTAATCTACCACCATGTATTTTCCAACATCCTTAAAGTGCTACACACAAGGTGACAACTCCTATTCGAGTAAAGGAATAGTTCACACAAAAATGATTATTCTGAATATAATTATTTAATAAACTTCATGTGATTTTTATCATGTTTAAAAATAATAATAATACTCACATTGCTCTTTGCCATTGCAATAAAAGCTAACAATGACCATGTCTGTAAAAAATAAAAATAAGAAGAAGAATAAATAAATAAATAAATAATGTGTTTGTATTTATGTATATGTATTAAAGGTTAAATCCAACCCGAACACTTTTATGAATCACTCTGGAATACGGGCAGCTATAAGTATGTTTGACCGAACAGCCAATCAAATGAAACACGGAGAGAGTCCGTTTGATTCACTTCTCATGAGAGAGTTGGTGGAATTCATGATTGTGTGGAGGACTGAGAGATTTGAAAAATATCCAAATTTAAACACATCTACAAAGCAGAAAGATTTTCTGTTCATCTAATATATACCCTACTTTGCAAGAGAATGTTAAAATTACACAGAATTTGAATAACATATACAATGAGCTTTCACCAAAGAAACATCGAGTCACATGAAGTTATTCTGATCGATACATAATTCACCATAAAAACACAAAATGCTTTTTTTCTTTTTTTTTGCCTTTGTTTTTCTACACTGTCCGTTAGATTGACCTCACGGAGGTCTGTCATTGGTCGAGCTGCCGTGGGCGGGTGGGCAGCGGACTCTTAGCACCTACACCTCATCATGAGAACGTTTAGTAGCTTAGTAGGGGTTCCCACATGTAGACGACACATGGATTCAACTACCTATGAGAAGCGTCACTAAATGCTTTTCTGAAAATTTGCCACGTTCAGAGATGAGAAGGTCTTGTACCGTACATCTGTATTGCAGTTTTGATGTTCAACACGCTTGTATTGCAATTTACTGTAACCGTCTCTGCATTTGTTCACTCTCTTTATTCAATGAAGACTCAAATGTGCAAGCCACTACCCTCTTACACCTGACGTCCGATCATTTGAAATCTTAACATCAAGTTCAGATACATGAGGGGAACAGTCTTGCAGAATTTGAGAATAGCGAGAATGCTTTGAAAGGAAGTACACCTAAATAATGGCGTTAAAATATGACCCATTTCAACCACATGGAACATGGAACCACCCAAAGCTTCTGAAGATTTTGGAATGATATTATGGATAAAAAGTGTACAAAATAAATGTTAAAAAAATGAAAAATCAATGCATTTACTTCAAATTAACTTTTCATTAGGCCGATTCACCCGCATTCTGTCATTGTTTATTGACCCTCATGTCATTCTAAAACGGTATTATTTTCCTTCTTCTATGAGACCCAAAATTAGGTTTTAGCCAGAATATCTGAGTTACTATTTCAATGCAACAAAAGTGGGAGATTATTCATACTGCCAAACTCCATAAAGGCACCATAAACAACCGTTCACACCATAGATGAAAACTAAAGATTTAACAATCGTTTCGAATTCTGCAAGAATAGGGAAGTCAGATATCGTTGGAATCATTTCCAGAACAATTTTTTCCTAGTTGATAAACGCTAAAAACATTGACAGCCAATCAGAACCACCCGACTAAGAAGACATTCACACTAGCACTTTTGATGCGCACCAGGGTTCATTTGACGTCAATGTTCGGTTTGTTTGGATATTGTGAATGCTGTTTTCTGAACTCAGGTGCGCACGTGTGAACCGTACTTGAGTCTGCCTAAAAAGGGTGATCTGGGGTATGGCTGATGCAAACTCTGGTACAGTTCGCTTCTAATGTGAACGCAATCATACTAAATAATGAAAGTGAGTTGCTACGTATGAATTGGTCAAACTGTGTATTTATGTGGTTACTCACTCGCTTTCCTGAGAGACAATTTACATCTAATTTATGCTAGCAGAAATTGACTCCCGCGTTCTTTTGAACCTCTGCACTACAGTCCTGACAAATAGACATATGTGTTGTTCTGTGTTGGTGCTTTGGAAACAAATCTAAATGTTCAAAATCTGAAGTACAAAAATGAAGCTGTTTTTTTTTTTTTTTGCCATCTTCTGCATAGTCGTTACCTAGCATCAGGTGTAAACAGCTGCCACTCTGATGACGCAAACGTACTGTGGTTCAGAGCCAGAAACTACCGTGTGAACACAATCCAGCAGGGGCAGGGGGAGGGGGATCAACTCGGGTCCAGACCAAGCAATCAAACCAAGTGTGAAAGCACCCTAAAGGGACTAAGCATTTAAAGTCGCTCAATCGTTTAGTTGGTATGGACGTTAATATAGTTATCATTGTAGTTATCATTCTTGGTGTAAACAAGCTTTAAAATTAGTCTTTACTTGAACATTACATACAACTACATGCATTCTGCAATTACATGATGGCTAGAGAAATATGCCAAAAATGTGAAATTCATTATTTAAGATAATCTTCTCCGTCAGGGCAGAGCCAGGGTTTGACATCTCATGTTGGAGTAATTCTATGATGCTTTTTATCCATTTTTAAGCTTGGCAGTATAAATCACCACCAGCTTTTATTGTATGGAAAGAACAGATGAAACATTCTGCCCATCATCTTATTTTGTGTTCTTAGGGAAGAAAAAAAATACAGGTTTTGGAACTATATATTGGTGATTTTCTGTTTGAGCGTATTATTTTAAGCATATTTATTGAGTTTGTTTTTAGTAATGTAAGAATTTAGTTAAAAACCTCATAACAACAAGAATGAAAGATGGAATAATAACCAAAAAACATCCAGATGTTTTCTGATTTAATGTTTTGACGAAGGCCACACCACTTAGAAATTCTGTACTTCAAATAAGTTGACACTGAAAGGTCTCAACGCAGATGCAGATGCAGATGGAAAAAGCCACTGTAATCATAGCTGACTTGTCGAACAGATACACGGCGAGAGACATTCTCTCTCATGTACATCCTAAAACGGTTTTGTTTCCTTTGTATTAGCTCTCCATCATACGGCAAGCTCTGTGTCGGTGTTGAATCCTCTGTATGTACCGTGTGAAGTGAGTATTCTTGATATGAGGGCTGTGATTCTCAGGAATAACTCATTTAGCAAACACAGCGGATGAAACGTGTCACTCGCTCTCTTGTCTGCAGTGGAAGCTGCACTTCAAGTGTCTAAATCCATTTGGACGACAGATCTTAGGCAACTGTTGTGTTTATCCGTCATTACCATTAGATCTCGCTGTGTAAAAAAAAGAAACATCTGCTGGCAATGTATGAAGCACGAATAAATCCAAATGGCTGCAAGTCTTGCTCAAAACTGCCGTACAGAATTGTTACTCGTTTTTCAATTTGTTTAGGTGGCTCGAATGAAATCAACCCTGTTTGTTTGTGCATTTCCGTGAGCGAAGGATGCCACTACACCCTCTGTAGCCTTCGGAAACTTGCAGTCTAAGGGATTTCTACTATTCTAGCAAGTCAGACGGGCTGCTGCGGTACAGCGTATTAAACTAAACTGTTCCTACGGTCCGCCGCATACCTGTAATGTACACCGCATTCAGAGAGACATCGCTTTTTAGTTGCATCCCCACCAAAACGCCGCAGCATTTTGACGAAATCAAAAGATAAATCGTCAGAACTCTTCGAAATCAACTTGATGTGCTATAAATGATACTCTAAGAAAACTACTTCCATTCGCATCTGTCCGTAGTTTAATTTATTGCCATGCTCAAAAAAAAGCCTCTTTTCCACATTTTCACTTTGTTCCGATGAGAAACATAGATTTTTGTTTGATCGGGGCGGCTCCTTCCAGTCAGATCGTGAGCTTCACTTTTGAGTGCCGTTTGTAAACATCAGACTCGGGTGCGGATAGTTTTGCAGACGTGGCTCGCTCTCACAGGAAGGATACCGATCGGCCTCCCTCTCGCAATGGCATGGTGGGATATATTGGTTTGAGGATGTGGTCACTACCTGGTTTGCTGCTACCGCCACCGTTCTGACTGACCATTTGGTGTCGGATGTCTCTGCGGTTGATGGTGAATGCCGTAATCATCTCGGGGCCGTAGTCCCTGCTCTCCGGCACGGCGCCGGGGACGTGCCTCAGGTGGCCGTCGCCCAGGCAAGTCATGGAAACACGGGCGTCATCGCGGTGTTGCAGCTCATGTTGTCCTTTCCTGGCAGGCGATGGTCGTTGAAAGAGTGCATGTTGATCACTGCGTCCGTCTTCACCAAGGCTGGCGGCTGGCGGTGGAGCTTGCGTTTCACTCGTCTCTCGCATGTGAACGACAGTTTGATCTCTTCCATCACCGCACTGCAGAAAGTCCTCTTGATGGAAAAAAAGAGACATGGTAGGGGGAGGACAAAGAGAAAAGAGGAAGTAAGTACGTTCACGTCCATTAGTTCACGTCAGCATATACAATTTTTTTTTTTTTAGCAATGCTTTTTAAAGAAGTGTCTTATGCTCACCAAGGCTGCATTTATTTGATCAAAAATACAGTATAAAATTGTGACATTATTACAATTTGAAATAGATATTTTCTATTTTAAAATGTAATTTATTCATGTGATGCAATGCTGAATTTTCAGCATCATTACTTCAGTCTTCAGTGTCACATGATCCCTCAGAAATCATTCTAAAATGCTGATTTAGTGGTCAAGAAACATTACTTATTATTATTATTTTATGTTGAAAACAGTGCTGCTCAATATTTTTATGGAAACTGATATATTTTTTAGGATACTTTGATTAATAAAAAGTTACTGAACAGCATTTATTTGAAATATGTTTTTTTACTGACACATTTGAGTAATAAAAAATAAAATAAAAAACTTGACCCCAAACTTTTGAATAGTATTATAGTAAACTTTATGTTCAAGACAAGTTTTCTTTTGTATTCTATGTGTTGTTCTTTTATACAATTTAAACATTAAAGTTTATTTTGAGCAGAACAATAGTTTTTTTGTGTTACCTTTTACATAATTCAGTCTTCAGTGTGTTTTGTTTTCTTAATTTTTGACAAGGAAAAAAATATGCTATAGCTGCTTCTAAATCAGTGAGACCAAAAACGATCCTTAAAATAACCTCCAACATGTGGGGAAAAAATAGCACAATGTTCCAGTTCAGTAGGGAGTATAATTAATTTTGAGGTGAGATGTGTGATAAAAAAATTCCCATTTTTGAGTGTGCTTTTACACTCAAATACATGATCAAAATGGTTTAAATGTCAACCTCCAGCGCTGGCATCTTATCTGTGAAATATGTCTACATAAAAAGGAAGTGATTTGCGATTTGCTTGCTATGCTTTTTTATGTTCGATCGGTTATTCATCTCTTTTCTCAAATAACAGATCCTGATGTTATCAGGTGTGAATGAACACTCAGCTTTAGTCAGCATGCAGAACGTCTTCATTTCAGAATGTCTAAAATCTGTGACTCTACAAGTGTAACCATACAAGGGCTTAGCTAGGAATGCACTATGGTCTTCTGGGTGGTTGCTAGGGTGTTTTTAGCAGTTGCTAGGGTATTGTGGGAGGGTTCTGGGAGGATTGGTTTGATGTTTAGTTCTAGATAGTTGCAAGAGTATTACAGTTGTGGGGATGAAAGTCTAAAAGGCACTAATATTTGTTCTTTTCTTTCTTAGCCAAGCATCACATTATAATGTCAATTTCCAATTAATCTCACCTGTTCATGCTCTGCGTTTTTTCGCAGTTTGTAGATGAACTCTCCTATCGCCACAAACACTGATAGCACCAGACCAGACGCCAACACAATGAAGATGCCGCCAAGATTCTGGATGCCCATGGGACCCGTTTCGTACCGCTCGTCTTCCAGACAGCTGCTGCTGCTCCACCACTTCTCTTTGAGCATATGAAGACGGCCATCTTCCAGGATACTGAGGATGGCGATTGTGATTTTATCCCTGTACGGCGAGCCTGAAAGAAATTCATTAATAGACGAGAATCTTTATTGGAAACTCGAATACAAAGAAGACTAAGGACATTTTATTAAAGACAGACATCTAATTATCAATCTAACTAACTAATAAACCTGACAAATCTGCAAGGAATAACAACAACACATTTTTAAATAATATATAATAATAATATATAAATATATATATATTTTAAATGATACAAGCATTGCACTTGCATAACATGAGAAAAAAAAGAAGTAAAAACAAACGAACAAATAAACACCTAAATATATTTAACATTATGACACCGACTCCACACTTGACATTATATATTTATATACATTATATACACACAAACACAGTGTAACTGTAACACCCCTGTGGACTGTTTGTTGTGGTTTCTTCCCCTTGTGTTGGTTTAGCCCGTCTAATTATTAGTTAATCCCCTCATTGTGCTCACCTGTCTGTCCCTCGTTAACTGCCCTATATCTGGTCCTTTCTCTTGTGTTCTAGTTTGCCGGTTATTGTGAATGTTACCCCGTGAGTGTGAGTGTGAGTGTGAGTGTGAGTGTGAGTGTGAGTGTGAGTGTGAGTGTGAGTGTGAGTGTGAGTGTGAGTGTGAGTGTGAGTGTGAGTGTGAGTGTGAGTGTGAGTGTGAGTGTGAGTTACCCCGTGAGTGTGAGTGTGAGTGTGAGTGTGAGTGTGAGTGTGAGTGTGAGTGTGAGTGTGAGTGTGAGTGTGAGTGTGAGTGTGAGTGTGAGTGTGAGTGTGAGTGTGAGTGTGAGTGTGAGTGTGAGTGTCTCTCTCTCGTTGTAGCTACATTAAATATCCTTCTTTTGAGTCCTTGTCATCCTGCCTGCCTCCACACACCTGGACCGTGACAGAATAACCGACCAGTAAAGTATAGCAGCGTCCTTCCCCTCATTTGTTTTGCCGGTTTTTTGTCAGTCTTTATTTTTTGTAATATGGATTATCCCGCATTCCAAATCCTCCAGCTGGAGCAGGAGGAACGCTCTCTTGAGGACCACACAAGTGACTTTCTGTCCCTGGCCCACCTCACGCACTACCCGGAAAACTGCCTCTGTGTCTTCTATCGAGTCGGACTAAACGCCACCACCCGAGCACAGTTGTCTGGGGATGGTCCCCGAGAGAGCCTCGCCGCCTTCATCGAGTGGGTGCTGGCTGACCGTGGACATCGCGGACAACAACACCAGCCCCACTCAGGACCCTGAGCCCAACACTCCATATCCCTGCGGTACGGAGCATCAACCTGAGCCCACCGATGACGGAGAGCCATTTCCCGCCGCGATCCACGAGCCAGAGCAAAGCCCCACGGCTGAGAAGAGGATTGCCTCGGATGTTGAGCCCAACGCGTCAGACCAGGTGTGAGAACCGGTAACAGTGCCCACCACGAGGGAGCAAGCCGTGGATGATGTGAGCGTGGAGAGGAGCTCCGCCCCCTGCATCATGGCTGAAGGTGAGCGGACTATGGAGGGTATTCGGTGCCAAAATGAGGAGGAGAGACGGCGGAATCCTCTGTTTAGCCCAGGAAGGTCTCCCGATCCCCTGTCGAGCCTCGGAATGGCTCCCGATCCCCAGTTCCGCCCAGGAAGGGCTCCAGCCCAAGAGCTCTCTCCAGTGCCCGCTGCTCAAAAAAGTCCGCCCTCCCACCCGCTCCGGCCTCCTCCAGCATCACCATGGTCGGAGTCTCCCTCGCCTCTGCCTCCAGCCTCCGAGGCCCGGACTCTGCCTCGGCTCCTAGCTCCCTCGCCTCCACCGTCACCCATCGATCCATCAGCTCCACCATGCTCCCTCGTCCCTCCGGCTCCGCCTTGGTCGGGTGTCGACCCACCATTGCCTCTTGACTCCTCTCCTCTGGCTGCGCCTCGTCGCTCTGTCCTACTGGCTCCGTTGGGCTCCTTCCTCCCGTTAGCTCCACCTTGGTCCTCAGTCGCTCCGCCGCGGATCTCTGGACCTCCGCCTTGGTCGCCAGAGCCCTCGGCATCCCCCTGGCTCGTTGGCTCTCCGTCTCCGCCTCGGGCTCCTGCTCCGCTGCCATTGGTCAGCCCCCTGGAGTCAGTGGACATTCCTCCTCCGTCAGCTCCACCGTGGGCCGCTAGGGTCCCACCTGGCTCCTCCTCCTGCTCTGGTTCCCTCCTGTCGTCTCCCTGGCTCCTGCCTCCATCGTCACCTCCATGGACTCTGTTAGCCATCCTCCTCCTGGAAGTCCGTCCTCCGCCGAAACCTCCACCTGTCTGCTCTGCCTGCCAGCCCTTTGCCTTCCCCGGTCACCATCTCACATCCACTGCCTTGTCCCCCTCCGCCCCTCCCTCGGTTTCTACGGTGCGAGGACGCACCTTCCGGGAGGGGGGAGTAATGTAACACCCCTGTGGACTGTTTGTTGTGGTTTCTTCCTCTTGTGTTGGTTTAGCCCGTCTAATTATTAGTTAATCACCTCATTGTGCTCACCTGTCTGTCCCTCGTTAACTGCCCTATATCTGGTCCTGTCTCTTGTGTTCTAGTTTGTCGGTTATTGTGAATGTTACCCCGAGTGTGTGTCGGTCTCTGCCTTGTTGTCGCTAAATTAAATATCCTTCTTTTGAATCCTTGTCGTCGTCATCCCGCCTGCCTCCACACAACTGGACCGTGACAGTAACCCACTCCATTTCACGCTCAGTGTTTTTTTTCTTTTTTAATAAGTACTGTGTACATTTGCAGACAGCCAAGGCTTTAAGCATGTAAAATGACTTCAGAGCCCTCAACACTGCAAACTATGCAGCCTTCAAGTTTTATGAATTCAGCTAAGAGGTCAGTTTGTGATATTTACATCTGCTATTGGTCAAATGTCTCTTCGCTATTAGGGATGTAAAGATTCACTCAACTCACGATTCAATTCACGAATTTGATTTCACATTTCTTTTTTTTTTTTTTTACAAAATTATATTTAAGAAATTAAATGGGTCCTTTTATTATTGCTTGGGGAAAATAATGTACGTTTCTTTGTGAAAGTCATGATCCAAACAAAGATGCTGCATACATGCAACATGAGCCGTTTTTAATCTAAATTACATTGTATAATTTCTAAATTTGAAGCAAAAACAGAATGGTTTGACTTCAGTTTTGTGAAACCGTACATACAAAATATCTGCATGAAACAGAAACAGCAGACGAGCTGAATGAGACGCAGATTCACTCTCTGCCAGTAGGTGGCGCTTAAAGCATTTCCTTGGTTTCCACTGTAAACAAAGCAGCGCTGCACTTATGAACTTTAATATACATTATACAGAGGCAAAAAGAAAGAAAAAAATACCATCGAAAGACAGTAAGTTCCCCTCAGACATACATTCATATAAACTCCTACCCCTAATTGAATCGCGATTTGTTTAGCATCTCAACCGATTTGAATCGTGACATATTCAAATCGATTTTCAACCGGCTCGCGATTAATCGTTACATCCCTATTCGCTATACATATTCACAGGTCAGATTCATTAAACTTGAAATTTGATTCACATGCATATGAATGGATGTGAATAGACCACAAAGTCTGCTGTGACCAAAGCTTCACTTACATGATGTGTAAAGTATGGAAACATTCCACTTGTTTACAACAAACGATACAATTATAAATAAAAATGCCCTCCAAATAATAAGCATAACTCTGCAGTTTCCCAAACGATTTTGCTATATTGCTAGTTTCGGATTTGATACCTGACTGAATATTTAAGAGAAATTAGATTCAACACACACACACACAAGTTTATATTTGTGGATTACGGGAACTCTCCATAGACGTAATGGTTTTTATACTGTACAAACTGTATTTTCTATCCCTCATAAACCATGTTCACATTGTAATACTTATGTTATTATACATATTTGTGTTCTCATAAACCATATAAACCTGTAAAGACACACACACGCATGCAATATTTCCTAATTGTGTAAGGTAGAATGTAGAAAGTGCAGTCAAAGGTCTGCATATCACCATTTTATAATGGTGGTTTTACCTTTCGGGGTGCCGATGCCATAACCTTTGCTGTCGACGATGCCGCCAACTTGCGTGAGATTGCAGTTTTTGCGTGTCACATACTCAATGGTCGTTGACTCCATTAGAAGAGCATAGTCTGACTTTAACACTCTCTGGATCCCATCTTCAATGGACTTGACGAACGACGTGCTCTGCCTGCTACTCATGAAAGCCCACATCTTCTCAAATGTAGACACTCTTGATTTCTGAAGAAGAGAAACATATTTTTTTTTGTTTTTAATCTAAAGCAGCAACTGTTCGTATTATTTGGAAATCACTCTGTTTGTTGGTGGTCAGTACAATATATATACATATATATATACAGTGGGGAAAAAAAGTATTTAGTCAATATATATATATATATATACATACAATGGAGAATTAAACGGTAAAACTAAAGGGGGATCAATAGCAACCCAGACTCATTGGGGAAAAATAAAAATAAAAATCAGCAAAATTATATAGCATTGCTTCTAAACCCTTACTAAACCCTACCCTAAACCTAACCAATATTGTCAACAAAAAACAAACATCAGATAAAAACACATTTGCTCAATAAATTGTGCCATTATAGCTTGTTTCAAAACATATTTGAGCTCTTTTATCAATTAAAAACATGAGTATCATGCATCACAAGTACAATGCTGTACTAGGTGAGTTGCCGAGCTAGTTTACTAAACTGGAAAAGCCATACACAAAGTATATTATACTGTATTGCATTATATTATATTATATTATATTATTTGTGTGAAAAGGACTTGCCACTAGTGCTCATTTCAGTTGGAAACTGTAGTAAATGGTATGCAAATATTTATGTTTTTGGAGTTCTGCAGAAGTGTAGTAAAAGGGACATGCTTCCAGTGATCTTATGTTGATCAGTAGGGTGGTGTGGCATAGTTGTCAAAGATTCATGTTGATTTTGCACAAGCTGAGATTTGTGAGCTACCAACTTCATGCCCTTGATTAAGACACTTAACTGAAACTGAACTGGACTAACTGGATTGAAATTTTAATAAATGTACTATGCGTTGCTTTGGATAAATGTGTCTGTTAAATGTTAACTGATCAAGCAGAAACAATTTTCTTTGTCCTTATTTTGTGCAAAATAAGCAACACTTGCCAAACTAGAGCTGCATGCTAATTTTTATCCATGTATACCATTGCATACTTTTGTCATTTCATATGAATCTATGGATACATGTTTATCCTCAAATGGTTTTAACAGAAATATCAGCCTCCCTGCATAACATGCATCTTTTCACAGTAGTGTTGTGACCATGTTTTGCCATCTTCCAACAGAAAATCATACTGTTACAAGCATAGCATACAGTAGAAAATGTACTAAAAGTTCCAACATACTGTACATGCACAACATCGTCAAACACCTCAAAATAAGGCATTTTCCTCCTTCCAAGTCTTGCCTCCATTACAGTGACACTCTCCAGCTTCACACTACAGTGTGCTGGTGTTGCCACTGTTCTCTTAACCTTGAGCACCTGCTATTGTTCCTCCCCCTTCAAATGCTATTTTCCCTGGTGTCTCTCAATATAATTGAAAGTGGCTGGGAATTGGCTTCAATGTTGGACTGCACAAGAATGAATAAGCAACTGGAGTGATACAGCTGACACTTCCTAGATTAAACAGTCACTGTGTATGCTGGATTATTGACACTATAATGCTGCCCTCACCACAGCTGTGCTTGTTTTACTGTAAGTAACGTGGCTGACTCAAAATTAACATAATATCTACTGATTACTTTGCAGTATATACTGCCAATTATATTTTTGAATTTATTATGTGAAGCAGTATAGGTGGGTTGTTGTATGTATCATGTCATTTGGTAAATTAAATATCATTAATAATTAAAAGCATTTGCTGAAGCAACCATGCCATTTTAGCTTGCTGCTATGAGTTGTTGAGCTCTTTTATCATGACTCGTGTTTAACAGACTCGTACCCGAGCGCTACATCGCAAATGCAACACAGTACTGGGTGGGCTACCGAGCAAGTTTCCTACATCAGAAAATCCATACATATGGAGCTGGTTAAATTTATATGTTTACAAATTAAGTACTATGGTCATTCTTTATCAATAATTTGCCCCTGTAATCATAATTTGTGTGAAAAACGCGTTCAGGTCATTTTGTCCTACAAAAAAAAATCACATACTATGAACAATACACTATATCTGCAGAAATGTCTCCAGGTTACGCATGTAACCATGGCGCCCCGAAGGGAACGAGATGCTGCGTCGAAACGCTACGGGAACGAGAATGCCCATGCCAGACTTGCAAATCCCTGCCTAGTGTGGAAGAGCACAACTAAGGCGGGAGAAAAGGGAGCCAGGAATGGCTAAAGTAGGCGGGGCCTGCCGTCCCGAAGGCCAACTTCTGGAGGAGTGAGCCTTGACCCCCGAAGGAGAGGGGAGATCAGAGGGCTCAAGGCTATGGAATAGCATCCTGATCCACCACTTAGCATAAGCTTCTCTGGCTGGAGGCCTCGGCCTCAGCGCACCGCAGAGGAAACGTGTAAGAAGAGGGTGTCTTCCCACCGAATGGCCACAGAGAGGGGCGTGGTAGGCAGCAATGGCCGCCACGAAGACCTCTAGGGTGGAGTGGGTCAACCCTGTGGATAAACAGGCCTGCAGGAACTCCAGAACTGTACCAAACGGGCAGTTAGCTGGGTCGAGCTGGCAGTCGCCGCAACCAAGAAGTACAGTTTCCTCATAGAGGGAGCTCTGGATGGAGGATGGTCTCAACAAGCTTGGTTGAGAGACCGGAAGCTATGAGTTGTGCCTCCTCAGAGGCCACACCCACAGCTTCCACCTCTCCGGGTGGGGGCACGTCTTCCGCCTGTGAGAGGAGATCTCTCCTGACAGGAATCTCCCATGGAGCGCCGTCGAGGAGAGAAATCAGGTCCGAGAACCATACTCGGCCCGGCCAGAATGGGGCCACTGTTTTTTCTTTGCAGTCGACTGACCTTGTTCCAGTGCACTCTCTCCAGAACTCCCTGGAGCAGAACAATCAGGGGAAAGGTGTACAGACGAAGCCTCGGCCACGTCTGTACCATGGCATCCAGCCCCAGTGGAGCTGGATGAGTCAGAGAGAGAACCAGAGGGGACCGTGCAATATCATCTGAGTCGCAAACAAGTCCACCTGAGCCTGGCCAAAGACTCTCCAAGTCTGCTTCACCCCTCGGGGTGAGGCATCTATTCTCTGGGCCTCGGCCCCTGCCTCGACAGGATGCCTGCCCCCACATATATAAAAAGACCACTGCTGTGTTGTCGGTGCGCACCAACACATAGCGATCTCTTAGGCCTGGGAGGAAGTGTTTCAAAGCTAGAAACACGGCCAGCATCCCCAGTCAACTTAGGCGCCACGTGAGATGGTGGCCGCTCCACCGGTGAAAGATGCATCCGTCGCTAGCATATGCGGTGACCAAGAGCTCCCAGCACCAGGCTCTGAGATAAGAACCAAGGTTTCCTTCACATGTCTAAGGCACGAAGGCACCGCAGCGTGACCTTGAGCATGCGAAGCGGGTTTCCCCTCGGGGAGAACCCCTTGGTCTTAAGCCACCACTGTAGGGGTCTCATGTACAGCAGGCCAAAAGTAACCACGTTGGATGCGGCTGCCATCAGACCCAGCAGTCTGGAACTGCTTGACAGTGAGTGACCGGCCTTCTCTCACTCTCGCAACGAGGATCGACTCGATCCGAGGAGGAGACATATGTGCCTACATCATGGTCGAATCCCACACCAAGCCCAGATAAGTTGTTCTCTGTACTGGAGAAAGCACACTTTTCTTGGCGTTAAGTTTTAACCCCAGCTCTTTCTTGTGAGCAAGAATGACATCCACTCTGATTGAGCTAAAATCAACCAATCGTCGATGTGGTTGAGTCGTGAAAGTGTGGGGTGAGAGTGCAAGGCCAAAGGAAGAACTCGGTATTGGTAAGCTTTTGCCCCCAAAAGCAAACCTCAGGAACTTCCTGTGATGAGGAAGGATGGAGACATGTGCATCTTTTAGATTGATCGTGCCAAACCAGACTTGATCTGAGACCCGACTTGTTTGAGTGCGAGCGTTCTGAACTTCAGTCGCCTGACTGAGCAGTTCAAATGCAGTTCAGATCTAAAATAGGACGCCACCCTCCATCCTTCCTCGGAACGGCGAATTACCGACTGTAGAACTATGTTATGTGAGGAGGGACCACCTCGATGTCCTCCTTCCTCAAAAGAGTAACTACTTCTATTCCATGACCAGAGCCTGCTCGGGACCCATCATAGTGGGAATGATCCCGTTTAAACTGAGGCGGAGGAGAACTGGATTCTATAGCCTCACTTTACAGTGTGCAGGACCCACCGAGACACGTTAGTCTACTAAGGGAATCAGTCTCTCGAGACTGACCTCTGGTGTAATCAGAGCGGCTAGCTCGGTGCCCTGAAGCGGCGAACCGGCAGGGGACGGCCCTACTAGCTCCTCTAGAGACCTCCGTGGACCTACGTTTCTGGGCGGTAACTGAGAGAAGCACTCGCCGGAGACTGCTGCTCCCTGGAACTGCAGGGTTGGCAGACTGATCTCCTGAGGGCACTGAGGAGAGACGGGCACCGTGTAATGCAGTGTGCACCGCTCTTCCCCAAAGGGGCCTGCCCTCCGAGGTCCTGAGCCATAGCATCAGAACCCTCATAGCTGAAATCTTCTCTAAAAATGATGGTCTTCAGACCCGCGTCATCTGCTAGGAAGACTCGACTGATAGAACCAGAGCCTGTTCAGGGCAGGACCCAGGGAGGCACGCTTGGCAGGGGCTCCCACACCGCCAGGTGGCATACTAATGGAACCAGTCTTACGAGACTGGCCTCTGGTGTAATCAGAGCGGCTAGCTCGGTGCCCTGAAGCGGCGAACCGACAGGGGACGGACGTACTAGCTGCTCTAGAGACCTCAGTGTAGGTCACGAGCCTCTTAGCACCGCTACGTTTCCGGGCGGTAACTGACAGAAGTGCTCGCCGGAGACTGCTGTGCCCTGGAACACCGGCAGGGTTGGCAGACCGATCTCCTGAGGGCACTGAGGAGAGACGGGCACCGTGTAATGCGGTGTACACCGCTCTTCACCAGAGGGAGCTGGCCCTCAGAAGTCCTATAGGCCTTAGGCGTCAGGATGTTTTAGACGGAGACTATCCAGCGAGAATGACGGTCCGCAGAACTGCCTTCCGCTAGAAGCCTTCGGCCTGGGAGCGCCACTGTGACTCTAGACTTTGCAGAGTACGAGAAGTGACGCCCCCCAATGAGGAGCTGGAACACGGTAGGTTGGGACTGCTCCCGCCCAGCAGCCCCTGCTGACCGCCTCAACCTCCTCAGAGGAAGAGAGGTAAACACGTGCTCTTACTCTAGATTTTTTTTTTTGAAATTTTAAGAGCCCCTGTATATCTAACTTCTCATAGTCAGACAAATACTTAATTTTATTCCTCGGAATCAAATGCAATCAAACAACCAGACGAGTAAACACGGTCTGGTGTGATAAGATTAATTTCAAAAATTGAAAATTATATAGCCTACTTCTCAAAGTCAGATAAATACTTAATTTAATTCCTCAGAATTAAACGCAGCTAAACAACCAGACGAGTAAACATGGTCTGGTGTGATAGGCTTCATATCAAAAATTGAAAAAATGATATATCTAACTTCTCATAGTCAGATAAATATCTCATTTAATTCCTCAGAATTAAATGCAGCCAAACAACCAAACGAGTAAACATGGTCTGGTGTGGTAAGATTCACATAAAAAACTGAAACTGATGTAATACACGCGTTGCCTCAGCAGCGCGCGAGCCACTTGGTCACTCAAACAATATCAATCTCCTCAGAGAAAATAGCCGCAGCAGCGAGCTCTCACTCAGAGGGGGAAGAAACCGCAGCGCGGGCTTCCGAACCTTGAGAGAGAGAGCGCTGGATCTACGGAGTGCAGGCGGAGAAAGGGCGAGCCATCGCCAACCCATCCGCTAGATCCACATGCGATCCCCGCGATCTGAATCACCACTGTGCCTCAGCAATAGCGGGACCGAACAGCGAGTTCGCAAGCATGGACACACTCCTCGGAGCGTGCCCGGCAGGAGCGGAGCATTCAGCGGGGAGAAGCACAATCAGCCCCTTATTTCCGAGAGCTGACTGCGCAAGCTCCGCTCCCCAGTAAATGCTGCTCATAATAGTATAGACATAATTCTTGTGTCCACAGTAAAGCTGCTCATTATAATAATAGGCATAAAATGCTTGTGTAACTGATGCTTGTGCAACTGGCGAGCTCATCGACGCCCTCATCAACCTCCTCGGAGGAAGACAAGCGGAGCGTCGAACCCTCTCACCGGGGGGAAAGAACCGCAGCACGGGCTTCTGAACCACGAGAGCGGGCGCTGGATCTGGTAGGTGAGGAAGAAGATAGGGACTCCCTCGAGAGCTGACTCTGCGTGTTTTGCTCCCAAGCAGACAACACACAAACTGTGTGTATCCCCACCCGAAATGTAGCGTGGGCAGGGAAGAACACGCAGCCTGAGATGCTGCTCTCGCCGTATGTTTGTCTACACCCGTATTGTAAAATAAAGAGTGATAATGGACAGACAACACCAAATAAGACTGACACACACAGAGCGCTTGCTGAATGACAGAAAAGCTGATGCCGATTTCACCGGACGGGCTTTTATGCTTCCTGGTCGCTACGTCACCCCGCCCGTGACGTCTCGCCCATCCATTGGACTGATTACACGTGATTCAGAGCGTGGTCACGCTGGAGGTGTTCCCGTAGCGTTTCGACGCATCTCGAATTCCTGAAGGGGAACTGTAGTATGCTATTCTGAACATTGAGTCTCCTTATAAAGAAATATATTTTGATTAAGATGTGGAACCAATTTTGTGTGTGTGTGTGTGTGTATCTCTGTCTTAGGATAATGAAACTTTAACATCACGATTAGCACTCAGTTTAAATGGCATTTCATGGTTTTTTAAAGGAGGTCACATTAGAAACCATAGCTAATCATGGATAATTGTTGGCTTAGTTCCATGAAACATTTAAAATGACCCAAGAAAATGAACAAGTGTGAGTGCTCTTTGATTACTCTTGATAAAATGTTAAATTAACATTTGAGGTTCCAGGTCTGCTCGCTGTAATACCACATCTGAATTTCAGAAAACAAGCAGAACTGAAGGTGTTTAGGCAGTGACAGCTTGATATTTTAATTGCAAACATCTGATATTGTAATCTTAATTTCTAATGCTGCTATCATATACTTCAGGAGTGAAAAAGGATGCATGATCAAAGTAATATGCACATTAAATGTCAAAGCCATATGCAATCATATTCATTATATACATACGGTCGCCGTGATTTTGCCATGTAAGACGTGTTCCTGGATCAACATCTTTTGTTGATCCTGGATCAACATAACTGTCCAAAAATATAGACTTAACCCAATCCCTACCCATAATTTATTCCTAAAACAGTGTGAAATGATAGCTGATTAACAAGGGTGTAGAAGCACCTAATCCTGATTGTAAGCCTAAAACAGATATTTCCTGAAAAGTTGTCCCTCAATTCTGATTGGTTGATAGGAATGTTGATCCAGGAACATGTTGTACTTGGTGAAATCACGGTCACCATATACATACACTGTTTCTTTTTTGTAAACTAAAAAAAGAACTGATAGAAATTTAAGAATTGTGATCTGAAGCAAAACAACTACGCTAATGTATATTTTGGAACATGGTTATTTATGGAAAATAAAATCAGCAAAAGCAGCCTATATTTTGAAAGAATGTATGAATATGCAATTACTGGTTTAAAGACACCTCGATTTTCTGTCATTCGGAAACCTGGTATACTTTTTTCTCTGCTCGGCACTACAGCATCTAAGAGCGAAAACTCAAAGCCGTGAAAAAGTAAAACCCTGCAGGCAAAAGTTGAAACTTTGGAATAAAAAAAAAACATTATGAAGGAACACTTCAAACATGGAAGAGAAGTGAGAGCACAGGTGAATATGCTTTTACAGTGGGAATTAAGATCTAACTGGAAAAGCTTAAGAAATTCGTTTGTGGAAGTGTATTGATTTTTTTTTCTCTCTGCACAGCTCAAGAATAGAAAAGTTGCTCCTTTTTTGAAAAGTTAGCTGAAGCTGTCTTTCAAAAATCTTCTGTTAACATTCTGCGGTTGTTCTCAACACTAGTGCCATGTGTCAAGCTTCAAGAAATAAATAACATGTCAAATATATCACAAACAGTGAACATAACCTTAGTGAACTGCCATTGTGATTTGTCAAAGTTATACAGTTCCAAAAAATCAAGCTCATTTCAGAGGCTCGTACCTTAAAGAAGGACATGGTTGCTCCATCTTTGACTACGCCGTACTCTATTTTGGTCTGTTTGGCCAGGTCATCGGCTGAGTCCACGGGCGAATCCATCCTCTCTACAGTGAGGAAAGCGGCCAGATTCGCTGTGTAGGAGGAGATGATGATGAGGGTGAAGAACCACCAGATTCCTCCGATGATTCGAGTAGAGAGAGCTTTAGGCATCAGTTCTGAACCTGAACAGAAATTAAATGCATCAACTCATTACATAAGAATACATCATTTTAGTTTAAAATTTACATTTATTTAAGAAAAGAAAAGGAAAGTGTATAAGATTGTTGCTTGTCAGTGGTCCTGTGACATGCATTTTTTTAAGTACATATATTCCATATAGTTTAAGTACATTCTGTATATAAAAAAAAAAGTCTGTATGAATTATTTACACACACACACACAGTGATTTGTAATATATTACATATGATTTGTATATACTTAAAAAACAACGTTGTGAAAGTAAATACATTTTACATCGCTACAAAACATTTATATTTCAAAAAAATATTAATTTGAAATATTCCTTGAGCAACAAATCAGCATATTAGAATGATTTCTGAAGGATCACGTGACTGGAGTGATGATGCTGAAAATCCAGCTGTACATCACAAATCCATTACACAGACAAAATATTCAAACAGAAAACAACATTGTTTATTATTTTTTAGAAAATATCACTGTATTTTGATCAAACAAATGCAGCCTTGTTGAGCATAAGAGACTTCTTTCGAAAACATTAAACAATCTTAAAGACTTCAAATTTTGAAAAGGTAGAGAGCATTCATTTAATTAAAAATGCATTAATGAACACACTATATAAATAAAATATTTAGCAACATATAGTGTGTGTGTGTGACTTTTGATCAATTTTAAAACCACATGCAGCTCATCTCATATACACAAAGAGTCAAACCAAACAAGCAGAGATGATGGATAAAACCGAGAGTTCCTTCAGGATGGGAGCCAGTGAACAGTGCAATGAAAAGTTAGAAAACTGCAAAACCCTGACTGTCTTTCACACACACACACACGCATGCATGCACTCATGCACACACGCACACTTTTACCTTCACCTTCATTCAATTCTGGATTGGCTATTTTTCTATAAAAATATTTTTACCACAACATTCAGAATCGGCTTTTGTGAGAGAGGGTCTTTGGTTTGTGGTCTTGCTGTTTTGGATGTCCCTTTATCACGTTCCAGTGTGCAAGCTATTAAGGAAATGCTGATGTCATGACAAACAACCAGCTGACAGATTTTCCAGCATAACGCTGAAGCTAAACATCTGCTTATCGCTGTGTAAAAGTAGGGAAGGCAAAACTGCTAAACTGTGGCCGTCTGTGGGTTATTCTCTATGGGTTTGCTTCACAGTGATATTAATTATGATGACCTGCTTTTCCCTGTCCTGCTATTTCTTTCACAAGCTCTGAAACACATCAGCCTGGGCCGAAGTTAAAGCATTTCCCAATGAGAATGATTACCTGCACTTAACATTCCCACCTTCTTCTCGTAAAGAAGAAAGTCACAGTGCGGCTCAGCGCCAGAGGCTAGTATTCAATATTCAGCCTGCTACCCTTTTCACTATCAGTGTGTAAAGATATGTTTCAAATTAGGGAAACTGAGCAAATTGATAAAGCACAGCATTCACCAAATTAACATTTTTTGCAGTTAGTTGATGGTAAACAGAAATGAGCCTGCCGAAAGAAACCAGCCTAAGATGGTTTGCTGGTTTAAGCTTGTTTAGTTGATCAGCTGTCACCATCTCTAAAACCAGCCGGCCACCTTACGTTTTTTATTATTATTTAGTTTTTTTTCAAAAGCGATTTGCAAAACCGGACCATTTTTCATGTAATAATCTGCAGCTTGCAGAATGAAACATCGGTTTTTGTTGAGCGGGCCATGTCTAACCTGAACAATTAGTTTAAAATTTACATTTATTTAAGAAAAGAAAAGGAAAGTGTATAAGATTGTTGCTTGTCAGTGGTCCTGTGACATGCATTTTTTTAAGTACATATATTCCATATAGTTTAAGTACATTCTGTATATAAAAAAAAAAGTCTGTATGAATTATTTACACACACACACACAGTGATTTGTAATATATTACATATGATTTGTATATACTTAAAAAACAACGTTGTGAAAGTAAATACATTTTACATCGCTACAAAACATTTATATTTCAAAAAAATATTAATTTGAAATATTCCTTGAGCAACAAATCAGCATATTAGAATGATTTCTGAAGGATCACGTGACTGGAGTGATGATGCTGAAAATCCAGCTGTACATCACAAATCCATTACACAGACAAAATATTCAAACAGAAAACAACATTGTTTATTATTTTTTAGAAAATATCACTGTATTTTGATCAAACAAATGCAGCCTTGTTGAGCATAAGAGACTTCTTTCGAAAACATTAAACAATCTTAAAGACTTCAAATTTTGAAAAGGTAGAGAGCATTCATTTAATTAAAAATGCATTAATGAACACACTATATAAATAAAATATTTAGCAACATATAGTGTGTGTGTGTGACTTTTGATCAATTTTAAAACCACATGCAGCTCATCTCATATACACAAAGAGTCAAACCAAACAAGCAGAGATGATGGATAAAACCGAGAGTTCCTTCAGGATGGGAGCCAGTGAACAGTGCAATGAAAAGTTAGAAAACTGCAAAACCCTGACTGTCTTTCACACACACACACACACGCACGCACGCACTCATGCACACACGCACACTTTTACCTTCACCTTCATTCAATTCTGGATTGGCTATTTTTCTATAAAAATATTTTTACCACAACATTCAGAATCGGCTTTTGTGAGAGAGGGTCTTTGGTTTGTGGTCTTGCTGTTTTGGATGTCCCTTTATCACGTTCCAGTGTGCAAGCTATTAAGGAAATGCTGATGTCATGACAAACAACCAGCTGACAGATTTTCCAGCATAACGCTGAAGCTAAACATCTGCTTATCGCTGTGTAAAAGTAGGGAAGGCAAAACTGCTAAACTGTGGCCGTCTGTGGGTTATTCTCTATGGGTTTGCTTCACAGTGATATTAATTATGATGACCTGCTTTTCCCTGTCCTGCTATTTCTTTCACAAGCTCTGAAACACATCAGCCTGGGCCGAAGTTAAAGCATTTCCCAATGAGAATGATTACCTGCACTTAACATTCCCACCTTCTTCTCGTAAAGAAGAAAGTCACAGTGCGGCTCAGCGCCAGAGGCTAGTATTCAATATTCAGCCTGCTACCCTTTTCACTATCAGTGTGTAAAGATATGTTTCAAATTAGGGAAACTGAGCAAATTGATAAAGCACAGCATTCACCAAATTAACATTTTTTGCAGTTAGTTGATGGTAAACAGAAATGAGCCTGCCGAAAGAAACCAGCCTAAGATGGTTTGCTGGTTTAAGCTTGTTTAGTTGATCAGCTGTCACCATCTCTAAAACCAGCCGGCCACCTTACGTTTTTTATTATTATTTAGTTTTTTTTCAAAAGCGATTTGCAAAACCGGACCATTTTTCATGTAATAATTTGCAGCTTGCAGAATGAAACATCGGTTGACAGATTTTCCAGCATAACGCTGAAGCTAAACATCTGCTTATCGCTGTGTAAAAGTAGGGAAGGCAAAACTGCTAAACTGTGGCCGTCTGTGGGTTATTCTCTATGGGTTTGCTTCACAGTGATATTAATTATGATGACCTGCTTTTCCCTGTCCTGCTATTTCTTTCACAAGCTCTGAAACACATCAGCCTGGGCCGAAGTTAAAGCATTTCCCAATGAGAATGATTACCTGCACTTAACATTCCCACCTTCTTCTCGTAAAGAAGAAAGTCACAGTGCGGCTCAGCGCCAGAGGCTAGTATTCAATATTCAGCCTGCTACCCTTTTCACTATCAGTGTGTAAAGATATGTTTCAAATTAGGGAAACTGAGCAAATTGATAAAGCACAGCATTCACCAAATTAACATTTTTTGCAGTTAGTTGATGGTAAACAGAAATGAGCCTGCCGAAAGAAACCAGCCTAAGATGGTTTGCTGGTTTAAGCTTGTTTAGTTGATCAGCTGTCACCATCTCTAAAACCAGCCGGCCACCTTACGTTTTTTATTATTATTTAGTTTTTTTTCAAAAGCGATTTGCAAAACCGGACCATTTTTCATGTAATAATCTGCAGCTTGCAGAATGAAACATCGGTTTTTGTTGAGCGGGCCATGTCTAACCTGAACAATTTTTGGACAGAGATGAAAAATGAGCTTTTATGATTTTATCAGTTCAGCTGCACTGCTGTGTGCTAGCATGAAGGAGCTTCCTGTCTGGCAGGACATGTTTGAAAAATGACAATGCATTAAAGAATTAAGACAACAACTTCCTGGTATTTTCTGACAAGTGAAAACATTTATTTTTTATTCATGCCATTTGTTTAGTGTCTGGTTTTATCCGTTCTCATTTATTTATTTTTTTTATCAGTAGTTCCTGTTGTCTTGCTCTAGCTGCAATAATACTGGATTTACTTCCTGGATTATCATTTCCGGACAATACCACAGGTATTACTCTAAATGTGTGTCGCATTAAGCTATCAACTAAAATTTCTTAGGAGAAACAAAAATGACAAAATAGACAACTGGCACACCAGATAGACCAGAAAACCACCTCAGGCTGGTTTAAACCCCCCCCCCCCCCCAGTACTTTAATCTCAGTGGTGTCCAAAAGAAACCTCGTATGACTAACTAACTAACTAACTAAATAAATAAATAAATATGCACTGTTTTTCTGACAGATGAAATAACTTATATCAATTGCTTGCTGAATAATTTTCTTGTACCTGCTGTCTTACTCTAGCTGCAATACCAATGAATTTCATTTTTTACACAAATAAAGTCTTATCTAACACCATCTATAACTAGCTGATGCTTCCACAGTACTTAAACTTTAAATTGCTGCTGAACCGTAAATCATTATGAATCATTCATGCACCTGGAGTAAGTGAACAGACTAACAAAACAAACACAACACACAACTTTTAAAGTCAAGTAAGAAGGTCTAACTCCATCTAACCAATTCATGAACTGCATGGCTGCTAGTTTCAGTAGACTGTTTCAAATTGACAGGTATCGCATGCATATCAGTGGAGATTTTGTGCGTACTGAAATGTGTGGCAGATTTGCGCTCCCCACGAGCAAAGGTTCACCATGGGCACAGGAAGAGTCTTTTCTATTTGTCTCCTTACATGAGGTAAAACATTTCATTACTCTGATCTGCTTTATTATGCCGTTTGGTTTTGAGGGTATCATTTGCTAATGTGTGCCTGTGAGGGGTGTGGAATCAGCTTCAACCCCTTTAATAGCTTTAAATAGCTTCCTCCCTCTAATTCTGTGAGGTGGCGCCTCAGCACAGAGAAAATATTTAAAATGGTATTAGAGGAAATAATATTTGAGATAGAGAGAGTGTCATTTACTTTGGTGCTGAGTTAAGATAAAAGAAATCGCTTCTTCTTCAAACCACCACAACTAAAATACTGGAATCAAATAATTTTGGTTCTGTTAATGATTGTTGAAAGTTTGCATTTTCAATGCATATCGAACAGCGTCCTGAAATACTTCAACTAAGTTTTTTTCTTCACTATTTAGCGGTGGGGTTGCTACTGAATCTATAGAGCCGCTGCAAGGCGATGCAAGAGTTTTAAATGAGTTGTGAACCTGCAGTCTTAAAGGTGCAGCAAGTGTTTTCTGAGAAATGCTGTTGAGAGTAGATCGGAACGAGCACCAAACACACTTCTAGCCAATCACCAGTAAGGGGCGTGTCCACTCGTGATGGGGTAGTTGCCTGTGTTGCATAGCTATCAAGAAAAGGGTGTAATCCTTTTGGGTAGGGGCTTGTTTGTTTTGGTGATTTTAAATTGGCGTTTCTTAGAAATCACTTATACTCCACCTTTAACTGAACATAATGAGAAAGAAAACTGAACTCCACAACAAAAATAAAAAACAAAAAAATAAATCTTTGCATTGCCTTGTCTTCATGTTTGCAAGCAACAACAAAAGTGCAAGCAGTGTAGTCCAATTCATGAATACATATACTGAAGAAGAAGAAGAAGAAGAAGAAGTGTAGAAACAATTTTCATTCAGAAATTGATAGTTAATTCACAATTAAATATAAACAAGTTACACACTGAATTAAACTTGAAATTTTGAAGTAGAAAGAGAAACAGTATTTTCTTGTAAAATGTACTCCAATTAAATGCAACTTGAAACCTACATAATAATCTATTTGCATCTTTAAAAAATATCTAAAATCTAATTCATACCATTTTAAAATGGTAAAAAATGCATCCTGAGTAACTGATCAAATATTTGTCATGGAACACATTTGTTGGATTATTACAGTTTTAACGTTTATGTTTCCTTTAATTTATTTTCAAGACCTGAGGTGAATTATCCATTAATATTCATAATTATTCCAGTCACGCAAAATGATATTCAAACTCACATTAGACCCTTTCAACATTAAATAAAGCCCATAAGTACCTGAGTTCATCATTGTCATGGATTTGATGTTATTGTTACAGACGCATTGTCACAGAAATAGAAACCCTTTCTAAAATAGAATCTGCTTGTCGCTTGTCACGTATCTCCTTCTCAGCTGGCTAGGACAAAAACTCTGATTAACATGGAAAAGATACCTTTTCCCACATCATGGCACAGCATCGCATCTGGTTAGCACATGGTGCAACGATTCACTCACTCACTGATTCGGTCAAAGCGATACTTCATGTATTTCTTCATGCCCAACACAAAATGATCTGAGGTGTTACTATATTATATATTAACATCAGGAATGTTTGAAATTAGCAAATTTTGCACAGAACTCATAACCGGCAGGTTTCAATTTGGTTAAAAATGCTGTGGGACATGATGTAAGTCATGCTAACATGTGTTGCGACAGCAAGGCAGCTGTAGTGTTCCAAGTCCAGACATCTGCTTTTGCTGGAGTAGACTGCTGGTCAACTGTCTACGAGAAGTGGGTCTTGCCCAGTTTGACTGCTCTTTTCTGTCTCCTCCCCTGACAGTAATTGCCTACTCTCATCTACATTCGAAGCAAAGTCACTGGCAACTCAAACAAGCCTATTAATTTTTGTTTGTGATCTCCTTGTGTCACTCTGAAGCTGTATGCCAGCTATGGTGCATGAATGAAACACTGCATTGAGACAAGCAATAAAGAAGAACAACGTATAGAGGGCGGGACATCTGGCCAAACGGAGATGAGATGAACAACAGAGATGCCCCACTGTGCATTTGCTACGATAGAGACAGTCTTCTGTCGACTTTCATCCCAACCTCAAACTCACAATCGTGAAGGTCTCTGATGGCAGCTGAGTGTCAGGAAACAAACGCTGCTGTTATCCCTCTAACCTGACAGTGTGTATGACAGATGTTTGACACCCCTCATCTTCGCCTCACTGACAAGCAAGATGACTACTTCCTCCTCCTGTCAGAAAAGTCTGAACCCAACATGGTTTTGACAGGTAAAGGGTGGAAGACAGTCATAACGCGCTGTTGTCAGTTTCTTTGGCTTGTTTGCCGTCTTTGGAAAGTGCGTTGAGTTTGCAGTAGAAGCACTGTACCTTGCTGCATGAGGGAGCCCACGCCAAACCAGAAGCTGTTGAGGAGGGTGAAGTTGTTTTCTACCACATCGGAGCCTGGGTTACACGGATGGGCATCATACCACTCGTACGGGCTGAACCTGTAGCAAAAATAAGAGAGAGTTCTCAAACTCGACCTCTACATTTAAAGATGAAGTGCTTTGCACTACCAACCACACCAAACAGAACTGCAAAAATAATGGTTTTACAAATGTGGAAAGTTCCACATCTAGGGACCATAATATCATAGAGGGCTCTTCTGACTCATACTAGAACTACTCAGAACATCCAAAAAATCACTGAGCGGCACCCTAGTAACTGCACTGCACTGTGCTAATAGGAGCTCAGAACACTTTAGCAACCATACACATCAACCAAACATTGTGCAAAAACCATTTACTGGTACATTTTCTGAAAATGTAGAAATATTCTCCTGTGAAGAAGAGTACATATTACAGAAAAAAAAAAGTTTGTTGTTTTCGGCACTTAAGTGCATGCTATTTACAATTAAATTATTATTATTTTTTTTTTTAGTAGGATTTAAGTACATATTTCTATGTAATATCATAATCCCTTCTATTGTCTTTGAAATATGGTTGAAGTGATAAACTAAAATATACTTAATAGTAAAATGTACTTAATAATGCAGTTTTTATTGAAGCTTGCATGCCATTTATTTAAATATATTTGTAATTAAACATTTGTAATGAGCTGCAATTTAGTACAATTAAAATATAAATAACACACTAGTTAAAATTATAATCAAGTACTTCACATGTGCTTTAGTCGGTTAGTCAAAGTAAATGTACTTCATTACAGCTTGACAAAAGATTATTAAAACATGATTTAAAACCTTTTAAGGAATATCTTTTAATTTGACATTGCAAAGTGCACTTTTTAAAAGTATGTAAATGAACAATCATGAAAGTGTACTTTCTTTAAGTACATAAAGTGTTTTATTTAGGTTATATTATCAGCTGTACATTTCTTTTTTTAAATAAACTTCTTACATTTGAAGTACACTATAAGGGTACAGTCAGTACAATTAAGCGCACTGCTTTTTCACAATGGTAGTCATTAATGCATGTTATAAAAGTTTCATATTGTGAGATTTGCACACTCTTATGTAACAAGCACAACGTGACTTCTTACTTCTAATCATGAACTCTCCGTATTAGAAAAGCACTTTACGTTAGACTAGACTTTACAATCGTGCCAAAGGTGTTTATAACCCTGGGGAAATGGATTACAGATTGGCCACTTCAGGGTATTTTGTTGAAATCAAGGCAAGTAACTGTGACGAGAGTGCAACTCTTGGCTCTTTTCAACAGCTTGTTAAACTATAACGCAATTAACTCTGGACACTCCCAGCAACTGCAGATGTCTGTAAATTCCCTTATAACACCTGTCCTTTAATATCTACAGTACAAGGAACGTCTCAAAGCATCTGCTTCAAAAGATGAGAGACACAGGTATTGCCAAGGGACTTGTTAACAGAGCACAAGCACCGTAGCTGGAAACTCGCAGAAGACACATTGTAGGATTACATTTTTTTATGTACATGTTTTTACTCACTGCCTGGTTAAAAATTAATTCATTAATAAATATGTCTTTATGTAAAAGGTGACATGCATATATAAATATATATACACTCTAAAAAATGCTGGGTTGTTTCAACCCAATGTTGGGTCAAATATGGACTAACCCAACTGTTGGGTTAAAAAGCTAATTTAAAAATGTAA